CACATTTGAAAATTTATATATATGTAGATCGAATGAACAAAAAGTAATTTAAATACAAAAAAAAAAAAATGTTTACAATTAAAATTTTTCCTCAAAAGAAAAACAAAAATAAATTCACTAAAAAGCACGCGCGTTTTTCATTAAAACACAATCGTTTCCCTATGGACTGATAATGAATATCATCAAGTTTAATGAGAGAAGAAAAGTGTATTATAAAAGATTAGAAAAATATTTGAGATACATAATATACCTACATACAGAAAATTTATGGACTACAATAAAATTGTTTAAGTTGTAAAAGTTAAAATAATAAAAAATGTTAATCATTGTTAATCTTTTAGAAAAAGCAAACACTTTAAATTATTAAAATTATTACCTATTTGCTTTTTAACAAGATATTATTAATAAAAAAAATATAAAGTGCACTTGATTATAATTTTAAATATTCTCATATCATTTAAATTTTTTAACTACATTCCATATATGTATTAAAATAATAGACAAAGCTATTTATATAGTTAAATTTTTTCACTTATAACGTGCTTATATTAAGTAACTGCTATAGGCTATATTAATTTTTTATAATATCACGTTTGATTTGAAGAGAAAATCTCACAAAAAAATATAATGAAATATGGCAATTAACATCAATTTTATTGCTTTTAGAATAAAGCAATGTAATTGCTTTTTTTTTTTTTGTTTTTTAATTATATAATATACGCGAATAATATTTTGACTATTGATCATTAAAATTAAAAAAAAAGAATGTTATTAAATTTGTTCATGTGTAGTTAAATTAATAATACACTAGGTCCTCGATTAACGACGTTCGATGCGTTCCTAGGTGCAATCCTCGATGCGATGCTCGATGCCATTTTCGATGCGTCCCCGAAAATTGCGTCCTAAGTCGAATCCTTAATAAACGAGTTTTTTTTTATATATATATACGTATACATACATACAAATATACATTACATATACTTATATATATTCATATATATATATGAATATAAATGTATTAATTTACTAATAATATAGTAATTTTCTAATAATACTTATATAATTTTGTTTTTAATTTATTGTTTTCCGAATATTACTTTTGTTTTTTAAAATACATTGCCAAAAACGACGTAACTACGAAATTTTTTTCACTTTTTTTTAAAAGCGTCGTAACTGCAAATAAAAATCGTTGTATGAATTAGAAAATTTTAAAACAAAGGAGTCGAAATCCAAATCGTCGAATATAAAGTGCGTCGTAAATTGGGGACCTAGTGTATATACAAATGATCACTACTATTAGATATGAATCTAATTTATTCTAAAGTATTTGAAGCCACATACAATTGTTATATATATATATATATATATATTAGGTACATATTACACGCATACTTAAATTATAATTATGTGGAAACTGTATAATATGAGAAGTTTGAAATTGTTTTTTAATATTAAAGTAATGTTCTTTTAATAAAGTTGTATAACTATTAGATATGATATATTTGAAAATACAATCAGTAGAGGAGGTTGAATTTTATGTAAATTAATTTTTTTTTCATTTTTAATGGTCATATAATGAAACTATATGATCTGTTCCAATATGGTTTGCAATAGGCTATAGTTTATTTTAAATCAAAACATTTATTGGAAATATGGTAAAAATTTATTTGAAACTCCTAACTATTACAAAAATTTACTGTGGGGGGTGTAAAAATGTATTGTGGGGGCTGTAGGGTAATGAAAAATATGAATGTAAAAAATTTTAAAAATTACAAAAAATAAGAAGCAAAACCAATATTTTTTATTGTTGCTATATTATATAAAATTAATAAAGAATCTCTAGTTACTGTTATAAGACAATTTCGAGAGGTGAGTCCAAAATAAGGAATTAATTAAATAGTGAATAAAAATAGTAGTTTGCGGGAGCCGCCTCTTTAAAAACAAAACGATTGCTGGTCACAATAACACGAAATCAATTAATTTTCTATAGAATTCTAAAATACGTAAAACTTAAACTAAAAAATATTTATTATTTGACATACTTTGAAACCAACCTATTTAACTATAATTATAATTAAATTCATTTCAATTATCCACATTTTTAATAATAATTGTATATGTACGTATATGTGAAGTTATAATCAGCACGTGAATGATTAATCACACGAGAAATATTTGAACTGTCTCTATATGTTTATTACAAGTATATATACAATAATATGTATGTACTAATGTCAATTTTTTATAATAACTTTTAAAGAGAATTTTTATTTTATAAAATATGCAATAAAATATTTTTGAATAATAATTTGCAAATGTATTTTGAAGAATTTATTTAAATTATGAAATTATCATTATAAAAAATCCCGTGGAAATTCCAAATAAATTTCAAAATTTTTAAATTCGAAATAACAAGAATATCGTAATAATTATTATGAAGTAAATAAAAGTTACCTGTATAATATATGTATACCTATATAACATGTGTATATACATTTATTAATTTCATAGAATATTGTGTGTTCCATTAGCACCTGTATAAATTTAATATTTACTTAGAATATTTAATAGGTATTATATGGATGAATAGATACGCGATGTAGGCAATTTTTAATGATTTTGAAATATGTATAATATTTCTAATAATTTGAATACTTTAATATTATCGTATATATATATATATATATATATGTATATTACGTATGTATTGTTAATTATTACTATTGAAGTAATTTTGACATATTAATTTCAATTGTATATTTAATATATACGAATATTAAAATATAATATATGACTAACAATTTTATTAAAGAATTAATAGTAGATTGAATTTTTTAACTACGTCAATTGAAATCTTAATTTGATTATATAACTTTCATTTATTAGTTTTTTTTTTTTCATTTTAAAGTTTTTTCCTATATAAAGTATCTCAATGAATTTTTTATCGCGTGTTGTTTGGATATTTTATGAAATCAAGTCGAATAGTATTGGCAATAAATTTATAAATATCAAAAATATCTAGTCAAAATAATCAATATTAAAATTTTGAAATTTTGCTATAATTTAAATTGAAATACATAATACGACAATGTGTACAAAGTAAAGTACGAACGCGGTAAATCGAAGAATTCTTAACAAAATTCATAGGCCTATAGAAGCACTTGTAAAATACTCTAAAATTACAATAATTAGTTACGTAAACATCTCTCTTTGATGTAACCTCTTTAACATACACAAGGTATATTTTTATCACCAATAAGATTTTAATACAATATTTAAATAGAGTTGTATTCGCATACTTATATTCACAGAAATTCATCAGAATATTACCATAGGTAATATATAAGTTCAATAATAATCGAAAATAAAAAATACTTTGTATTACAGCACATATAGCATATCTGTAAATAATTGTACACAGCATAGTTTGTATTATGTATATATATAATATAATATGTGTAAAAGTATATGAAGTTTTGTACAACGAATTTCGAAAAAATTAATAAAAATTGAAATTAACAAAATATCACGTACGGTCATATTAATATAAATTTTATAAGAACATGTTAATATTATTAAAAACCCTGTATTCTTATACATTTAATATAAGCACGTAATTTTAATTTAACATTTCAATAATAATTATATGTAATTGTCAAAATATGAATTATTAACATTTAATTTTTGGAGATACACAATTAGGTTTGAAGTAGTATTTTGATATCTCGAGAATATTGTATAAGTCAAAATGCAGTTACAGGCATGGTTTGTAAAAATGTTCAAATTCGTCTTATGTTGGAATTTATATTAATTTTCGTAATTACTACCTATATGTTTATGGAAACTGGATTAAAGAATTTTTGTATTTAAAAATTAAAGAACAAAACATATACATTACTGTTTATCCCTTCAATATTTTTATTATTTTTGAATCATGAAAACAACTCTCTATATAAGCACTAAATGCAAAATAATAAAAATTTATGTAAAAAACTTACATTCACAATGTATTGAAATGGAAAAGGATCTGCAGTATATATTTGAAGTTCTTAAAACAGATACGATTTTTTAGACCCGATTCTGAAACTGAATTCAACCTCAACGCAAAATTTCAGAATTGAATATAAATATTTTATATTTGTATTGTGGAACTCCTGGTATAATTAACAGTGATAAAATATGCTAGTAAAACGAATTTACGCTTTTAAAAAATCAAAATTTCTTTTAAAAAATCAAAATTTCTTTTATAAATCAAAATTTGTTTCTACAATGTATGAGTATTTTGTGTTATTGGCTATGATATTAAGGTGAATATATGAAGAGCTATGATATTAAGGTAATTTTTATTTAGAGATGCTTTAAATAAAATCATTAAATTTTCTGGAGTATAGGTGAGAATTCTAATTCATAAATTACGGTATAAAAAACAAAAAAAAAATAACATTAGAAAAAAAAATCACAATTTTCTAATTTTCTGTTTTAATTACCTGTTTTTTTGTACTTATTATATAAATAATTTCTTTATAGCTAGTTTTTTTTTTAATTATTTAAATGGAAATATTAAAATATAATAAATAAAATAATTACACATACATAAATTTATAATTAAAATGTATATGAAATTAATTTCTAAAAAAAAAAAAGGGAATATCGTGCAAGCAATTAATGAACGCAGACGCATATACATATGAGGGAACACAAAATCAATTACTATGTTATATAAAAAGAAAAATCATTATCATAAAAAAGTTTTTAAAACATTATCATAAAAAATTAATTATACATTAATAAAATTAATAAAATTCATTTAATTAATATCATTATTACTCACTTAATTTCTGTTAATTTTTTATTGTGTAACAAACACATTTTGTATATTTTAATAAATATTTTATAACTTAATTAATAATAATAAAATTAATTAATAATTAAAATATCCTTAAAAATATTATTAATATTATATTATATTATATGTATACATATATGGTAGGGGTACGTACATTTTAATCCTTTACTAAAACGAAGAGAAAAAGTTGAATAATAAATTTACGGCTTCTATATATGTATGTATATATATCTTAATGTTTATCGAAAAAAAATGGCTTCTTTATCCTATGATTTAATTATTCTTTTTAATTTAAAATTTTCCTTTTTTTTTTTTTTTTTCTTAAATTTTTATAAACACCAAAGTTTTTTTTATTTTATTTTCTCCTTTGTTTTCTTTTTCGTTTATTTTATTTTCTCTCTTATATTGAAAAATCTATTTGAACTCAAAAAACAAAATAATAATAATAAAACGATTTTTTGATTTTTATTTTTTTTTTTGCTTTCGTTATTTTTATTTGTGGTTATTGGCGACGTTGACGACGATTACGGGCACACACACATACACGTACACCACAAAACCCTTTTCAATTTTTTCAAAATTGCGAAGGATTAAAATTATTATTACGCGACCTTCAAAAATGTTTTTTTTTTTTTTATAAATAGATAGGATAAGTAAATAAGTATGTACGTTTAAAATTTTGTTTGAAAAAGTTGATTTTTTTTTGAAAAAAGAAAGAAGAAGATAAAGAAAAAAATACAAGAAAATTAATTATAAAATTTTATATAAAAAGTATTTTTATTTTTTTAATATTATTGTTATATTTAAAAAAAAAAAAACGAAATTAAAGAAAATTAATAATATAATGTTTATATTATGTTGCATTTATATAATAGTAAAGTATATAAGTATAACAGTTTAGTGAAATACAATTAAATTTTCCGCGATTTTTTTTTTAAATCTCTAATTTTTTAAGAATTCTGCAATTATTCTCATATAGGACAAAATTGAATTGTACAATATAAAATTATGTTATATAGTTATACAATATTTATATAACAATAAATCAATACAAATACTATGATTAAATAATTAATACAAGATATGTATTATTAAATTTTGATACAATTATACCCTATACACATTTGAAAACACCTTTTATATAATTTTAGGTGTGAAGCATTTACAAAATGTATATCAGTACATTTTTGTGTCGCATATTGAAAATATTATTAGTGAAATCATCGCAATGTCAGTTAAAACGAAAATGCAAATTCCAATTTCCAAACGTTTCATTTCACACTCTCAAAAAATTTCAAGAGAGATAAAACAGAGTTAACAGTATGAAATTAAACAATAATTTTTAAGCATTGGAAATTTTTCTCAAAAATGCTGACGCCTGCAATCAAGACTACGTGTAAAGTAAATAGAATTAGAAAACTATTGAATTTGTTTATATTTAAACATTATCAATTTACTATATTGTTTTTAATATACTTTGAGTATCTACTTTAGATACTTATATATAAGTAAACTTTATTTTATAACACTTAGTGCATGCGTCTCTCGATATTATTTCTAATCCATTATACTAACAAACCAATTTATTGAAAGATTAATTTAAAAGTTATAAATAAACATATATGCATAAAGTATAGAGTTTTGATTATAATTGATAAGACAAGAAATTCAATCATAAATCAAAAGATAAGAAAATATTTTATTTATTTATCAGATTAACCCATATTTGATATTTTTCATTGCAATTATGTTCAAGTAATGTATATTTAATGGAAAATTATATGGGTACTATTGATTCTCCTTCACCATTTAATTTAAGTATTTTATATAAAAGCCTTGAAATTTATAACTTTTTGTACTTGAGTTTATACTAAAACAAATTTCAAGAGTAATAATTTGCAAAATTGAAAATATGAATACTTACATTGAAAATATTGAAGTAAAGTACATGATTTTTAATGGTTGATTTCATTTAATTTTCATATTAATTAATTATTATAAAACTGGAATTTTTATTTGTCGTACTTATAAACACAAACTGAGAATTATTTTAATTTTTTTATTCATTTATGTAGGCATTAAAAAATTTTTTACTTTTTGTATACCTTGTAGATATATAAATGAAATTACGTGTATATAATATAATTGTATAATAATAAAAGTATGTACTGCTTTTTTTTAATGTTAACCTTTATTTGACTTTATTTTAAATTTAAGTTAATGTATTCAATAAAAAAAAAAGACATGTACAATATGAAGATAATTAACTTAATATTCTCAATTTACTTTTTGTTCTTTTTAACAATTTTTAAGTTTTTCTTTTTTTAATTATCTCATAAAATTTTTATATTTTTTTATACAACATTTTTTAAAATAAATATTGACAAAATTCATCATTTTGTTCCTTTATTTTTTATTTTTCCTAAGTGTGAAGAATGACAATATTATTAATTAATTTTTAACAAAATACTTCCTTACCTCCTCCTTGACACAAAAACAAAAAATCAAAAAGGAAAAAGTAATAAAACAAAAGTAAAAAAAAAAAATTCAAAAATTGTAGATAAACAATTTGCAGACATCTTTATTATTATTAATTTAAATATAGGTATCTATAATTAATGTATATCAAATTTACGTCATTTTAAAAATGAAAAACAGAAAAATTGTTTTTTAGTACAGAACGTACGGAAATTTTTTCTAATTATAATTATAAAACAATTGTGAATATGTGTAATTAAAATTAGAAATGAAAAATTATTTTTTGTAGCATATCGCCTTGGTTACAAAATTTATATTTTTCATGTGCTCATATGTTCTTTATTAAAGAGAGCAATCTATTGCTAGTATTTCTTTATTAAAAAGAGACATCTATTGTCGTTAATTTGCACATGAATATTTTGCAATAATTTATATAAAATATATTAAAAACATAATACTTTTGTACGCGTTCAAATTATTTGTTATACAAAATAAAATTACAATAATTCAATTAAATATTTATTTGAATTTTAATAAATAATATAAATTGCAACATAACAACATTATATTTTCTATGCATATAGATTAATATAATATACGAATATTTTTTTTTTTTTTTTGAAAAAAAGAAAGAAAAATCAACATCAGTTATAAAATATAAAAAATAAATAAAAATATAACAGTTTTGTATACATATTATATTATATCAAACATATAAAATACATAATTAATAAAATTATCAATAATATTTTTTTATACGCATTTATAATAATAAAGATACGAGCCCAAATTGAAAAATTGTATACGAAATAAAATTTGAACTTATTACTGCATTTGTAATATAATGTGGTAATAAAATTGAATTGGGAAATTTATGATATTTATGACAATAGACATTTAAGAACGTGGATTTATGTATTCGAATATAACAGTTGAGTAATTTAATTTACATACTCAATTATAAATAAACAATTTATTTAAAAATGTAATTGAAATATTAGAATTTTAAAATTTAATACCAAAATAATAATAAAAAGCATAATTTAAAATTAAAATTTTAATTTTCATATAATCTTATTAAAAATATATTATTTAACTATAATGTGAAAAGTAAATGTGCCCATTTAACATGTTATATTAATTTTATATTGCATTCTGTAGTATACATGGCGAGTATACAATACAAGGTTTTAAACCTACTTGTCTATACTTTTCTATATACATAATATTATAATTTCTGCTTGAAAATTCAATTAGTTTCGTAATTTTAATCCGATATATTTATAATTTTTATACGCACATATGGACAAATTATATTTAATTGGACATTATATACCTTTTGATGGACATTATGTTTTAACGTTATTATATTTTAAAGTTTTTAATCGATTTATAAAATTGTGTAAGTATATACAAAAATACACACGTTCTTTTAAATGTTGAGAAAATTTTAGCATATAATAAAATATCGATAATTCAAAATTGCATTTGGAAAATGTCAAATGCGCATGTAATACGTTTACATGAACACAATTTTTCACAAATTAACATGTGACTAATAGATTGAACAGTATTCTACATTCGTCAGTTTAATATCATATATCAGATTCCTTGATTATATAGTTCAGTATTTGAAGAAATTTTCTTACCTTTGAGCTCGTATAACAACTTCATTTATTTAATACACATAATATTGTATAAGTTAGAAAAAAAATCTTATACAAATTAATATAAAAATCTTCAAATATAATATGTATACAGAACGAATAAAAAAAAAATAAAATTAGAATATAACAAGTACATATAATAATATATAAAAAAAAAAATATTTAGATATAATATTTGTAGCGATAAATTATATAAATCAAATTCAATGTTATCATTTCTATCATCATCAGCATATTTGATTGAATGTGTCCGTTCATTTCAATTTTTCAATTGAAACGAAATCATCATGACGTTTATTTTATTTTATTTTTGTGTTCATTTCATTATTACAATTTTATTTTTTTTTATTTTTCAGTTATACATTATACATACTTTGTTCATTTTTCATATTACTTAAGTGATTTTAGATTCAAATCTTTCCATAATTGTTTTATATTATACATATATATGTACATAGACGTATATAATAATATGTCATTGCAAATATGTAAATATTCATTGTATATGTATAATAATAATATCACACTAAATTATAATTCAAAAAAAAAATTTTTTTTTAATAGAAAATCTTATATACCCCTAATATAAATTTTTATTTATAAATAAACATTAATTCAAATGTATTTATGTAAGTATAAACAATATAATATAAAATATATCTTCTATATTATATTCTACACACAATTTGATGTATACAAACATTTGCACATTATTATATTCACTTAATATATACATATGTGTATAGTATATATTTATTATTATATTCTATACATAATGTAAAACTATTTGAAATTCGCGTGAGCTCTTAATTTAGAGCAAAGGCTAATATCTACGTATGTAGATTTTTATTTAAAAAAAAAAAAATAAAATAAATAAATAAATTCACATAATATAGAAAAAAATAAAATTGAAAGAAGAAAAATTGACAAGCTGCTTGACGCTATTTAAAATTTTAGATTTTCTACTCATATCCCATAGTTATACATATATAGATGTAGGTATAGAGAAATTTTTTTTTTTGCATTTTGAAAAAAAATTTATAAGCATTTATTATTAAGATTTTTCTGTTGTTTTTCTTTTTGTTGCAGCCTCAGCACAAGCCAATAAGTAAAAATAAGTGACAAAGAAGATAAGATTTAATTCGATTTCTTTTTTTTTTGTTATAGATCTGAGTTTCAGATCGTGTTAATAAAAAATTACGCTAGTGCAAAAGTTTACCAAAAATATATGCGCCAAAATTTATATATTTGGAACAATTTTTCTGCATATACCTATTTGATTTTCAATATTATTGAAGGTAAACGGCAACACTTTCAAATCGATTGAATATAAAAAATTCTATGAAAACACAAATAAAAATTTAGAATTCAATATAATTTAAAAATAATCTCACAAACTAATTCAGCATCATCAAGAATTTAACCAAGATATTTTTGAAGAAAAAAAAACACTTATCACTAATATAAGCCTGAAATCATAT